TTATGGTATGCAATATGATATCAACAAGGAAATCATTTTCTGTGATGTTTTTCCTGCTTAAAATTGGACACTATAACAGAATCAATAACATTTTCATTAACTTTTTTATTTATTTGTTATACGTTTGTTGCCTCAAGGCTCAGGTACAAATTTAAACATTTGACATTTTCATGCAGAAAAAAATAAATATATGTATTGTTAACATCAATTTATTTAACCAAGCACTTGAACAGACAGTTTTATCTAGTTTTTAATGTATTGCATATCTCGTATTTAATAAAAAGTAACATTTTATATCCAGCTGTTGCTCTCAGGCAACATTGTACCATCGTGGATTGCAAGTATAACCAAACCATCATAACAGTTATCATATCAAAACATTACAATCAGTGTTGTTTCAAGGTAAAAAAAAATAAAATCATCATAACCTTATCCTAATAATCACCTTATCCTTACAAGCATGCATAAACACACAAAAGCACATGCACATTAAATCCCCTTCCTCACTAATGACATCTCACTGCTTGTGAAAGCTGAGAAAGCAACAGAAAAATCATAATATGTGCAGATATAGTATCTGAATTACTATTCTTACAAATGCATTGCAAAATTATGCAAATACATTTAGTTAATTCGAACTCTTTTCCTTACAAATATCATATATTTGTATTATAACCTAGTATGCCTGCATGGCCTCATGTGATTCCATTACGGTACAATGTTGCCTTGAGGCAACATGAAGTTTGTTTTCTAATAATCCTAATATATGTTTGATGATATATAATGTAAAGTTTTTGAAAATATTTATTTGCTTACCATTGAAGGTGACAGATTTTTTGTAGGCAATTATAAGTATGAAAATGTATGATAAATGCACTTTTCATTGGAGAAAATATGGAGTCTTGTGACGTGCACATGTCCTGAAAGTGGAAGCAAAATGAACCCCTATGGGTCATGTGACCACTTTTTTTGCATTTGCATTGATTAGTATTTGAGTTCTGCTACCCTGAGATAGCATTTATCAATTAAATGGGTGTCTCATTTTATTAAAAAACCCTAAAATAAGGTATGTTGCCTAGAGGCAACATGGTACCATAGAGGGACCATATATATATACAGTGGGTACGGAAAGTATTCAGACCCCCTTAAATTTTTCACTCTTTGTTATATTGCAGCCATTTGCTAAAATCATTTAAGTTAATTTTTTTTCCTCATTA